GCTGTGTGCTCGCCCCGCGAAGGCTGTGAATAACGGTTTAGCGCCAAAGCGGCTGTCGTTTTCCTTCTTAAGTTGTTGTTTTGTTTCTTTTACACGGCATCGGACGTCTGTATGTCCGCGTGCCTCAGGCAGTTCGTGTACGTTGTGGCTCATGTACTGGGAGAAGTCGCTGCCTGCCGGTCGAGGGTTTAACAGCTCCTACCGGAGAACAGACTTCGTCTGTTGAAACAGAGGGACGCGTTCAGGCTTTGTCTCTCAGAGCTGCTCTTTGGCGTGACTTCAGACATGTTTGTTAGTACCCCTTTATTATGTCTGTTGATTTTTGCGAAAGCGAGAAGGAAAACAGCGTTTCAGAGCAGGCGTCGGCATTGATGAAGAACCGTCTGTAAGCTAGTTCACTCGGTTTGATGATGAGTGAAACGCTGTGATGCTTACTGCATTTCGGTGTCAAAACGACGTGTAAGTTTTCATGCTTTAGCTTCTTGTTTTGACCTTCTTAAATGACCTTTAGATTTCTCTTTCTTCTAGGGTAGGCAGCATTGTAGGATCAGTGATCAAGAAACTAATGGGAAAAACTCAACTGCGAGTTCGAATGACTTCAGTGATCCAGTTTACAAAGAAATTGCTATAACCAATGGTTGTATCAACAGAATGACCAGAGATGAGCTCAGAAGTAAACTTGCAGAGTTCAAGCTTGAAACCAGGTTGGGCTGATTTGTGAACCTTTTAATTGTTCTTTGAGAACAGTAGGGATAAGGGGTGATTGTTTTAAAGTTTAAAAACTCATTGCAAAGTGAAAAGCAGGCACACCACCAAACACCAGTTGTTTTATGTGCAGTCTTGATGCAGCTTCTGCTGTAGGATTAGTGTGTGCAAGAGAATGTGTTCCCAGAAACGTGTGATATCTCAACTGGTAACGCAAAGAAACAGAATATGTAACTGTAGGTTACCTCTAAACATGTTTTTGGTCGAGGGGGAAAGATAGATCTGAAGAACTGTGAGGATTCTCAAGTGGTGTTGCAGACCTTGAGTGTAGAGAAACTTGCTTCAGAACATGCATTTTTTTATTTACTGTACGCAGCACAGATCTGGCTGGAACCTCTGTAGTGACAGGGCTCGGAATTTAATAAATGCAGAGGACAGGTACCTTTTAGATTCTTTGCTAATCTGAGTAGATGAGATAGAATAATGTGAATGAATGAATGTACTATAAACTGGATTTGTGCTCACCGAGGAGGAGAAAAGGGCTAGGAATATATAGAGTGGTTCCTACTCTTATCATAAATGGCCTGCAAGGCCCTTCGATATTGGTGTGGCCAGACAAATTTGAAATGTTGAGAAGAAGGTCAGCTGGGAAAAACGAAGTGTATTGTTTCTGTTGGCAGTGGTAATGAAGTGATAGTGGTGGTGAGTTAGCAAAGTGAGAAGCTACTGCTCTGGAGGAAGAGGGAATAGGAAAGGTGAGATGGAATCTGAAAGAAGAAGTCTAGCTTTTTAGAGAAGGTGATGACTGTAGGAGAGAGGAGGCTCAGAGGAAAAAAACGAAATAGTGAATCATTTGAACAGAATAAAAGAAAAACAGAACGGTGTGGGTGGGAAGTGCAGCCTGCCACCTCCACCACATCTGTCTGCAGATGTTCTGGCTGCATGTTTTTTTTTTAATTCTTCTGTTAAATGAATTTGACTCCTCAGGAGGAAAATTTTTTGTCATTACCTGATAAAACTTTTAGTAGAACAGGTTAGATTTGTGCAGCTATTCAGCAGTTACTGTGATTTAAAAATAAAAAGCAGAATTCAAATAGGAAATTATGTACTTGTGGTTTCCTCTTAGGTTATTGATTTTTCTATTTGTGTTTTTTTATTTGGTTGTAAATGCAGAAAGCTTTAAACTTTCTATTTAGCTAAGCTGCACTTCTTTTGTCAGTATATTTGATTAAGTTGGTCAGAATATGTCTTGCTTGTAAACAAGTAGTGCATCACCTCTAATGTAGTGACTCAAGCAGATTGCCATATGCCATCCTTTCTGTTGGGGTTATTTTCATAGCAAGTCATCTCCTCTTTCAACTTCTTTTGTAGGTTTGATGGAGAAAAAGGTAATTTTCCCCTCTGCATCAGCTCCCATACTGTTTCAACTTTGAACAAACTAGTCGTTGAATTAAACTAGATTAGTAAACCAGAGCAGAAAAAGGGTTATCTGTGTTTGCAGAAGAGGCTGATGATCTCATACAAGTTTAGTATTCTGATTCCAATTTTTCCTTGCGGATCAGTGGGCTGCTTTTCTGATAATGCCACTTGCTACAAGTAGCTCTTGCAGCTTCTGTGAATTCATTTGCAAAGTGTAATTTTAAAAATAACTTCGTTTGAAGAGTAAATTATCCTTGTTTATTCAGCTCTGGTTTGGTACATGGCAGTTCTGGCACCTGCACTTGCATATTATAATGTTTGTATTAAAAAGAAACAGTAACTTTAATCATTTCCACTATGAATTTATGTGTTAGCCACTAGCCTCCTGAAAAGCAGGATCTTGACTAGGAAGTTTTTCTCATAACTGAATTCTTGAATATTTTACTTTAATTGAGTTACTCAAGCTCAATTTTAAATTTAAATTGAGACAAATTTAAAATGTGGGCCTCTTAGCTGGATTCTGCGTTATCTGAGCCACTGGTACAGAAAATCTCGGGCATCAGTCACTTCAGGCAGAGGGCGCAGGGAAACAGGGGTGAAGCTTCCAGGGCCAGAGGTCATCTAGGAGCAGTCTGCAAAGACCTGGTCTTTACAAAGGCTTCAGCTACTGAGTCTTGCTGAACTGGAGGTGACAGCAGAGTGTCTTTGCACTGTGCTTCCTAGTCTATCCCCAAATACTGATATTATCTGGATGTTTTAGTTGTTGAGGGGTATTGCAACCTTTGCAGTGTCCTAGATGATGGAGCGTTAACTGTACGATCAAGTTGAATTCAGACTTCGTAAGGGCTGGTGTTCAAAATGAGGTTAACAAATGATGAAGTTTCAGATGTTAAATATAGTTTCAGTTCTACCTTGGTGACATAATTAAATGAGAGTGTGATCTTTGTTATGTTTCTTACCTCTTTAGAGGAGTGAAAGACGTGCTGAAAAAGAGACTGAAAAACTATTATAAGAAACAGAAGCTGATGCAGAAGGAACCCATTAATGGAGACAGCTACTACGACTACATCTGTGTTGTAGACTTTGAAGCAACATGTGAGGAAGGAAACCCACCTGAATTCATACATGAAATAATTGAGTTTCCTGTTGTCTTACTAAACACGCATACCCTGGAAATAGTAAGTGATGTAATGAAGTGTCAGCATGCTGGTTTTCAGTGTAACTTCTTTGCTTCAGAAAGCCTAGAGTAGATTTTAGGTATACGCTGAACTTCATTAAAAATAGTGGTTGATTTTTGTTTTCATAAAGACCTATCCTTTGTGCCTCTTACATACAAAGAAAAACTTTATTTCTATTCTTAAAGCATCTGGAATAGATTATGCTCCTGCTGTTGACTCCCTCTACTGATATGAAGGACTTCCAGTTTCTCAGTTGTCCTTCCCCCTCCGCTTCTTTCCCTGCTTAAGATCCACAGAGCTATTTCTAGCACTCAAGGGATTAGTTTTAAACAAGAATTAGCAAATTTTGTGAGCCTGTGTGAGGCAATCTAGAAGAGACTAATGCAGAGGTCTGGAAAGTGGTGTTGAGTGAACTCCGCTTCTTGGTGGACTAGACTGTTTCCGCAATGTACCTAAACAGATCGACAGCTGTGTAACCTGATTTTAAACATACTTAGTAGGCATTGGGCAGCCTCAAGTGCTCTGTTCCAGTACAGCTTGCTTTTAGGAAAAGCTACTTGCTGCTTAACTGAAACTCCGTGAGTCAGTGAAGTGGAGGAAGTGCACGCCCCTCTGACTAATGGTTCATTTATTAAGAACTTTCAAGAGGAGGAGAATTTCCAGTAAACACTGTGATGGTGTGATTAGAGTGTAGCTTCATGTGCAGAGAGAGGATTGTGCAGATTACCAGGACTTTATTACCTTTAGAGTAGTAGGAAACAGTGTGGGTTTTCCTCTCTCCAAAAGGTTTTGTACAGCAGCAGGGATTTGGGGCTTTCTTTTTCCCATGAAACTTGCATGTAGTCTTCACTCTTGTACTGCTTGGTTTCACAGACTGGGGTCATTGTGTTGATATTGATATTGACTGGGGAGGTACATGCTCCTTTTTGCCTCAAGCAGCGCAAGTAGCCGCTGTTGCCTTTCAGCTATGGGCAAGCCAAAGAAGTTGCTACACAGTGTGCTGCTGCTGAGTGTTTGATTCTCGTATTACAGGAGGATACCTTTCAGCAGTACGTGAAGCCAGAAATTAATCCCAAGCTTTCAAAATTCTGCATCAGTCTGACGGGAATCACCCAGGTAATTCGCACTTTTGTTTCTTCAGGGAAAAAATATGAAAAAAAGATATTAGATGTTTATATTTTCAGACTGGTAATCTTTCATGCTAATTTTTCTGTAAGGCTTATTCTCTTAATTCATGTTTTTTCCCTTTCTCCCAGTTATCACAGGATTGATTTCACTAAGTTGGTCATTTAGCTGTCTGTGAGGGGCTGTAGGGAAAAGCATTCATTTTGTGATGCGTGTGTAGAAACTTAGCCTTTGGCAGGGGAAAGTACCTTTTGAATTGGATCAGTTCCTCTTCTAAGATTTTTATTCTAAATCTTTTAGAGTCTTATGATGAGAGTGTCTTGTGATCAAGCGACTTGAGCTGGAGCCTGGGTAACAACGTCCAAGATTTTAATCCAAGTTCAAGAGCTGACTAACCTTGTCACCTTTATAGATGTCGTTTGGATGTTGGCTCTTTTAGTGGTGCTTTTGTGGTGCTTTTTTTTCAGTTCAGAAAAATCTGTCCCATTGTCTGCTTATTTTAATGTGTAATCTGTTTCTAAAGATTTTTGTGAAGCTAACTTAGTGAGTGATTTAGCGAGTACCTATATACCAATATAATTCTTACACTTCATGCTGTTGTTTTTTTCTGAAAAAATGTTCCTCGCTTTTGTTTTTTCGGTTCTCTTAGGACATTGTTGATAAAGCTGATACATTTCCTCAAGTTCTGCAGAATGTCGTAGAGTGGATGAGACAGCGAGAACTGGGAACGAAGTATAGCTATTCCATGTTGACAGATGGGTATGTCCTTTTGTAACCTCTGGCACGATCTAACACTGCAAAACAGTGTTTAATCTTTGAGAGTGTTGTTAAAGGTGCATCATGACACTGCCGTTTTGCCATTTTATTACAATTTTAGCTTCTGAGATCAGAAAAGCTGAACATGAAGCCTGAATCCATTAGATGGCACTGTTTCTTTCCTAGTTTTCTGTATGTAACTAAATGTAAACGTTGAATAGACTTTTTATCCTTTTTTGTTGTTATAATTCTCTGTTTACATCTAGTTTTCATATAGCACATAATACCTGAAAATAACATTGTGCAATTTCAGTTCTAAGCAACTTCCGTGCTCTCTTGAATCCAAGGTTTCAGAGATGTGTGGTGATTGTGTTGCATCCTGTGTGTGTTAGTGTTACATCCTGCGTATTTCACCAGAAAGTAATAATGGATTATGCTGTTTATGAAACAAGGAGAAGTGGCTAGCATAGAAAGCTCTCTGCTTTGGCTTAGAGGACTGTGACTCTGGCAGGTCCCAGCTCTGACAAGCTTTGTGTGTGAGGGATTGACTAGACCTTGAACTGCCACCTGAACTTGCTCTCTCACAAGGTCTGCGTGGAAAAGCAAGTTCCCTTATGACTGCAAAGTGAACAGATCTTGAGATCTAGGTGTATCTGTGACGTAACCTTGTTCCTGTGATCTTAGCTTTGTTACACGATGAAAGATACTGTTTGAGCCTTATCTTGTATAGCACTGTCCAGAGAATTTTTCTGTAGGTGGTAACTTGCTTTTTAGCTCTGAAACATTACTATTCTGTTAACATGTCTGCTTTCCTTCTCTTGGAAAGAGAGATTTAAGCACAGAGAGTTTTTAACATTAGCTGTGTTGAGCTGAATGATGCATTTTCAGGTTGCTATGCCTGTTGTTTGCCTGGAGTAAGTCTTCTGCTGTGCTGGATTAAAAAGGCAATTTTGTGCTGCTCTGTTAAAATGACTGTCGAACCAAAGGAAGATGAACCTCCCAAAAAGCCTGGAGTTTATGAAAACAGAGGGTGGAGGATATTAGTATGACTTCCTAACGATTTTGTCAAGTAAAACACAGATACATATTTTAGTCTATAATGTGAGTGGTTTGAAAAATAATGTATTGTAGGAGATGAATGAATACATAACAAAACCTTTTTTAACTAATCGAACTTACCAAGTGGGAAAATTTTGTTGGGCTATGAGCCATTTTTCTCAAAATTGTTGAAGTTTCAGACGACTATAAATCACAGGTCTTTTCTGGTGAAGAACCCATATCATTGAATGTCATTGTGTCCAGTGTGAACCGCGAATCCATCTAAAAGCTGCCACACAAGACTTGAGGTGTATGGTTTAGATCTGTGTGTACCTTTAAAATAAGGAGTTAAAGTAGTGTCATTCCAACTTTGGAACTCTGGTAAATACTGCTATTAGACTAATTTTTTTACCTGTTATTAGGTTTCTATCTTTGGAAGCAACAGTGAATTAAAAAAAGAAAATGGTAAAGCAAAACTGGTGTGAGACTGGTTATGTTACTGAGCCTGGAATGTGTCTGGAATTCCCTTTCAGGGGAATCCTCTCAGTGAAATTCCTCAAGGAAAATAGGCGCGGTGAAATCTGTCATATAGCTCAGATTGTGTAGACAGCTGCAAGAGAAGGGGGGAAAAAAGGCTTTATTTTAGCTTGAAGCTTACAAACTTGTTGGAGTGGTTCCCTTCGGGAAGGCGAGCTAGAAGTGCGTAGGGTTATAGTTTCATCTTCTTTCCATAAAGGTCTGGTTCTCCTAAAACTAAGCGCAGCGTTGTTTCCAATAACCTATGTTAAGTAGAGAGGTGCATACGTACCCAGGTAATCAGGAAAATTTAAGGTGTCACTTGCTTCCCCAAGGGGTGTGTAAGCATCTAGTTTGTTGGCAGGTGTTGGAGTAGATGTGGTAGGTGGAGAAGTTGGCATGCAATTTTTGTTTTAACCATCCTAGACCTGAAACCGTCCTCGTGAAAATCTTGCTTATGTCATTATTTGTTTTCCGCATGATTAACAAATTGATATTAAAAAATTCTTTACCGTGATTGTAGCAAAAGACCTTTCCCTAAAGGGTTTTCCTTCTGCTGACCACCAAAGAAAAAATAGCCATTTGTGCTGCAGCTGTGCAATATGTAGAACACAGGGCACCTGAATTATACGTTACTAATGTTTTTCTCTTTTCTCCTCTGGCTTTTTGAGGTCTTGGGATATGAGTAAATTTTTGAACACCCAGTGCCATATTAGCCGTATCAAATACCCTTCTTTTGCCAAAAAGTGGATCAATATTCGCAAATCATACGGGAACTTCTATAAGGTTTGTATGGATTGTTGCTTCTCTTGCGGGAAAGTTTGCTTTAAAAGTCTAGAATGTCCTGTTGTGCTTGTCATCTTTACTGGTGTAGTATAAAATTACAGTACTTAAACTGGTTGCCTGGGGCCTGATTTTCAAGTGTGCTTCATGCCCTGATCTCGCTTTACTAATTGAAGATCATATAATCTACTTCATTTTGATTTTAATCTTGTTTTTAAGAATCAGGAGATGTTCCAGGAAGGATCGTCTAAAAATGTTGTACTGGTGCTCTTAGATCAAGTGTGTTTTGAAGCTGTTCGGCTGAAAAGACTCTGTATTGATTTTTCAATTCTTTTTTTCTGTTTTCATGTAATACGCTACAAAAGTAATTTGTGCAACGACCCTCAGATATGTCCACTTTAGGCAGTGTAATGGAAGCAGAGAAGGATTAGGACATACCTAAAGTTGCATCAAATTGTCAAGAGAAAAGTAATACCGAGTTCAGTGCTGGACCCCGTTGCTGCTCGCCTTCGCTGTCAGATTGCCGCAAAGTGCGTTATTGGAGATTCTGGCAAATTCCTGGTCAGCCTACGCGAAACCGTTTGTTTGAGTGTGGTTTCAGCACAGCTGACCATCTTCTCTTGAAGGGCTTTCTCATACTAAATGTCACTTCTAGAGAAAAAAAAAAAGGTTAATAAGAGAAGAGCTTTACTTTGTGCTGAGCGAATGTTACAGGGTTACTCCGTTTCTCCCTCTGTTATTGTGCCTTCACTGCATCACCATTTCTGTTGGAAACATGCGAGGACACACAACAGTCTTGTCAGTCCTATCAGCTTTAACCTAAATGTCTTTTTATTTCTCTGTTGAGCAGCGAGTGCTTTTTCATCAAAGGTGATGAAGACTATAACTTAGAATGAATCAGTTTCTTTTCACTTTTGGGGATTATTTTTCTTTAAATAAATGCAAGCAGTTGTAACATTTATAGTTGCTCAGTGCTTCTTTTCAGCTCTTCTGTGCTGCTGTTGAATTTGTTGCTAAGTAATAGATAAAATTAATGACAAGTAATGCACTGTAACTTTCCTGTGGAGTACCCCACAACCTGCAGTATGCCTCCCTTGCCCAGTGAGTGGGTGTTATTATTGGAGTTGCATGTTGCAAGGTTTTGGCAATGTGTTGTCACTGTTCTGCCTAGCTATTAAATCCAGTAGGATGGTGCAATATCCTGGAACTTGGCATATCCCATGTTCCCCCAACCATCACCACCAAGAGAGCAAACTAAAGTTTTCCTTCAGAGTTACCCTTTTAATTTTCTTTGACCTTTCCTAAGGACAAATGTATATTTAGTAGTTAATCAAGAGAGGAGTTGGGGTTTCTGCTGGTGTAGCACTTTGCATGGTAAAGTCGGTTAAGCTTCCTTGTCTGTTCATGCTGTTGGTCATTCATGTAGACTTGGGCTGTTACAGGTGTCACTGATCTGTTCCCGTGGTGTTTGGAGGCACTCAGAAGCTTGATGTCAGTGAGAATTGAGAGCCTGGTGCTTCTTTAATCCCTTAGCATTTAAAAGGAAAACCAAAACCTGCTTCCTTCTGCCATGCCTCTTTGGGTGGTAATTCCTCTTTTATAAAGCCTGTTAAACCTAGCTAGGCCATCGTGCTGGCACATCGTGAGCTGGTGCTGTTCATGGTGAGAGGCTCTTGAGATTATCCTGAGTCTAGACAAGCTCGTGTTGTCTGTCTCCTCTGTAAAAATGAGAGTGTCTGCCTCACCAAGATGCTTTGAAGTTAAATTGTTAGTGATCTGACAAAAGGCAACATGAAAGTAATATGTGACTTAAGTAGACTTAAAACCTGCATATGTTTCTACTGCACTGTGTTAGATTAAAATATCTTACTACAGAACCTAATTCTTGAATGTGGTTCGCTTTCTCCATCAGGTTCCGAGGAACCAGACCAAGCTGACAATCATGCTTGAAAAGCTGGGCATGAATTACGATGGGAGACCTCACAGTGGACTTGATGACTCCAAAAACATTGCAAGGATAGCTATAAGGATGCTGCAGGATGGCTGTGAACTGCGGGTGAATGAGAGAATGCATGCTGGACAGCTTATAACAGTCTCCTCCTCAGCCCCCTTAGAGGGAGCCCCTGCTCCACAGATGCCCCGCTACAGAAACTAGCAGTTACGGGGTTCTGCGTGGGGAACTGCGCTCACATACCCACTAAAGACTGTTTAGGAGCTTATGAAGTGGCCACCTCTGCCAGCCTGTCTGCAGTGCAGAATCCGCAAGCACCTTAACTAATCATCTCTGCTGAAATAAAGAGGAGTGTGGAAGCTCTTTGAAGCCTGTGTTACAGCATTTTTTTCCTTATACTGATGATTATTTTTTGTTGTTGTTTGCAACTTTTCTGGCAGTAAGGTCGATACGCGGAATCCAGGCGCAGCGTTAAGCCTTTACGAATGTGTAATTTGAACGCTGCAGCGTGAAGATCGACTGAGCCTGGGCGCTGCTGTTCCACCCCAGCCTGTGGGTAGCATTTATTCACCATGCCCTGCTCTAATGATATCCAGCATCTGATTATTCATTGCGCAAGTAAGACGTTGCTAGAAGAACTGAAACAGCAAGTGGTGAGGCTGGCCTTTCCTGATAAAGCAACTGTCTAAGGGTTCCTGCTGCTAATTTTTTCTTTTTTTTACAAAGTCTAGGAGAAATAGGACCAAGTTTATCCATTCTAAAGCAGTAGAGAAGTACTGTGTTTTGGGGGGTTTTTTGTGGGTTTTTTTCCACATCAAATAGAAGAGCTGTGTATTGAATAAAAATTCCATTAATGCAGTATGATAGTATTTTTTTTTTAACCTATATTTAAAAAGAGAAGTTTCTTCAGATTTTCACTTTGAGGATTGTATCTCCTATTCCTGCCCTTCATTTGATGTTGCTTTTAGACACTGTCAGCCATTTGGACTTAAAAATGAGTGAAGTAAAAATAAGTTCAAAACATGCCAGATCATCAAAATTTTGTGCTATGTGATTGTTACGTAAAACAAAACAAGAAGCTTCTAGTTCATAGTTAGACATGCTCAACTATTTTTGGTACTTTCTCATGCCTCTGCCGCTATGAAGCCTTTATGTCAAAATCTAACATTGGAAGATTAGTGCAATTTTATTAGTAAAAGCCACGTCTAATTGTTAACAACAAGAAGATGATATTAAAAAGAGGCCAGAGTGTTAATTTCCTTTGTATCCATGGGCTGTTACGAAGTGCAACATTAGTGTGTTCAGCTTTGTGTTAGAATGGCTTTTTCTGAAAAGCAGAATAATGTGTTTTGGTTGCTCTTGGTCAAGAAAATGTTAGTTTGGTATCCCTGTATTATAATTCATTCATTCTTTCTGCCACTTACATTCGGGAGGCAAAATAACCAATTCGTAATAAAGCTTTACTGAGAACATTCACTGCTTGGCTAATCAAACTCCTCCCAGCTCCCCTTGCTCTACTGACTGTTAAATCAGATCAATGGAAACGTGAAAACTTTATTTTGAATTCGTTTAAGAGAGAAGAATTGGTCAGTTTTCAGTTACTTCATAAGTAAGAAGGAAGCAGTTTTCTTTCCAGAGACACAGATTTGGACAGCCACAACTGCTTTACAACAATGTTCCTTTTTTTCTGAAAGTAAATACTTGTTCTGCTTGTAGAGTTTTGTTGAACTTTACAGTTTCTTTCTGTTGCAATACTTGGTGTATTTTCAGAAGGCTAAAATCCAAGTCTCTGATAAGCTTACTCCAAAAATACCGTTTATTTGTCAGCCCATATTTTGTACAAATTGTTAATTATATATTTGCTTTTCACTATAGCAACGATAGTATTCTCTTTTCTGAAGAACCATGATAATTTACTTTTTTTTTTTTTGTCTCTGAGTTATTGTGGTGCAGGTTTCCATGACAGAATTGAGTCTAGTTCAGCAGATTTCCCCTTGGGACGCTGGCAGTATCATAGACTTTGTCACTAGTCTTTTATTTACAGGTCTGTAACCAGGCTCACAGTCCAATGAAAAACTTTATTTGTTACAGATTATACTACAGGTTTCATAAGTGAAGAGCTGTTGTAATTTTACATCATGTATTTTAAGTACAGAGTTGTGTATTTTTGTTAAATAACTTCAAAAAGATATTCTGAGATAAGGGTTAAATATTAATAACTGTTGTCCATTTAAGTTTTTTTTTTTAATCAGTGAGTTGCAGAAATCAGTAGAATCATGCCAGATACTATTTTGTCTAAGTTGAATTAATGTCACGCTGTCAGCTGTAACTGTTTTCACGGAATGTTTCATTCTGTGATTTTGAGATGAAGTGAATTTTATCAGTCCTTGTTGGTTTACTTGAAATGTGAACAAACTTATTGCAATAAGTGGGTATTTATTAACATGTCAGGTGCTGAATTCACTGTACAAAGCATGAGGTGACTTCGGCAGTCTTGGAGGTCTTGGTTTAAGCATGGCCCATGATTAGTCTTCTCTGGTGGACTAGCAGTGTTGCCATGGCTAGGTGGCTTACATCTCATGAATGTGAGTAGTTCACAATACTCAGTAAAGGGCTAAGTTTTCCTGTATGCTTTCATACAAAAGGGGAAGGAGGCACTTGAGGGGAAAAAAATACGTGGTATGGTGATTCTAGTAGTGACGCTTGTGTTCAGCCGAACGTTTTTTTCAGGTTGATCTCTGTTGTTCGTCCAGAGAAGCTTGCCGGGTGCATCTCTGCTGTAATGAATATTTTTGTTTATTAGAGGAGTTATCCCATGCTGGAAAAATTCATTGACAGCTACGTAAGAAACAATCTCCCTTTTTACACAGGAAAAAACCCATGCGGATGTTACCCTGCCGGTATAGTAAGAGGCCTTGTTTTGTTGTTCTGTTTATTATTTCACATTTCAGGAGCTGTTCTTGAGCAATTCTACCACTACCGCCTTTGTAAAACACTAGCGAACTTTAAACAGTGGAGTTGCAGACAAATTTCAACACGCACACTTTCAAGTAGATTTCTTAATACATATATTTATATGAATGTGAGAGGGATTCGTGGAATCTTAGGATTGTGTTAGAGAGGAAAAAAGGTTTCTCAGGCAGGTTCAAAGGCAGTAACCTCTCTGTCTCAATGAGCAAATGCCTGAGCAAATGTCGCTGGCTGCATGGGGAAGAGGAGGTCACAACAGTTGGTAGCCTCCCATCAATCTCCTAGTGAGGTTTGGCTACAAGGGCAAGTCCCAGCAGGTCAATTGTCCATAAAACCTGTTCCTGTCTGTGCTTGTCTTATTATAAGGTAATTAAATAATTTAGTTTAACAAGGTAGTTGTTGTTTTCATATTTTGTTGGAAATTAACATTTAAATGAGGAGGGGGCTGTTCCCAGCAGTGGAAATAAGTAAAAAAAACCCTCAGTTCACCTTGAGTTGGGGTTCTCGTGCCCTTGGAGAGCTCTCAGCACTTCACTGCAGGCCTTCACTGCTCTTCGATGACCTTGCAGCAGCAGTGGTTTTTTACCACAGTGGACGGCTCATTTCTCTCACCCTACAGTTCCCAAGGCTGTTTAAGTCCTCCCTTTCCCTTTTTCTTCCATTAGTGAACTTTTGTCTCCCCTCAAAAGAAGTTTGTGCTAGGTAAGATCTGTGTGTGCTCTTTTTGATCTGGGAAAAAGAAAAAGAGGCCCTTTAAAAAGAAGTTGGAAGTCTTACCTGCGGAGGATACATGTCAAGAGACTCAGTAACTGACTGGAGGCTTTTGAAACGGGCTAAACGTATAGAACATGATTCTATTCCAATCAAGACCATTATAGCCCCCTCTCCAAGACTTCGTACTTGACAGTGACAGCCTACCAGAAGGATTAGCCTAATGGCAATACATGAAGTAGTAATGTGGTGGTCAGTCCATGTTTCTGCTCTACCTTGTGTTGAGCTGTGGCCTATCTGAACAGCCATAGTAGGGAGCAGGGTACCACTTCATTTTAGAAGACCTTTCCACTCATCCAGTGGGTAACAGGGTACTGATCTGCAAGTATCGATGCAGACAAAGTTTTGGAGGATGAGAAGTCACTTCTCTCTTGGATTTCGTCTAGTTTGGTCTTTGCACATTCGCGTCCTCTAACACTGACTGGCTTTTTGCCCTCTTTAAATTGGAGGACTGTGTTGTGGGAGAAGAGCCTGAAGTAGCTTCAGGGATGTGCTCCTTAAATTAAAGGGGTGTGACTGCTTTGCACTAAGTGGCCCAAATGAAGGAAAAGGCTTTTTCAAATGAATGACAAGAGCCTTGGACACCTCTTTATGGCAGAGGTGACCTCTCGGTGCGTTCTGATTAGGGATGTGATTGCATGGCTCAGGCAGCTGTCTCCTCTGTGGCCACTCAGTTCAGGGTGCCCCATGGAAAGTACTGTGCCCTGCTTCTGCAGTCTTAACTCGGTGTGGTCATGACTGCGTATGTTAATTGTAAATCTTGTGATGCTGCTTACAGATACATATTGGGGGTTTTTGCCTACTTTCCTGGCCAAGTTGTTGCTAATCATGTTTGAAGCGAATGGTAGTAATGATCTTGTATTGGTAAAGTACTTGCCGGTGATTCTGACCTTCTTTGTTTATGTTCCCTGTTTCAGCGATGTTGAGTTTTAAAGAGCACACGTGGCCAAATGAACCTCTGTGAGCCAGAGATGTCCCAATAAGCAGGAATTGCTTCATCGTGCTGGTGTTCAGCCTTGGGGTGGTGTGCAGGTCCTGGGCTGAAGACTGGCGGTGAAGCGTGACACACCTTCCCAGGCAGCTACATGCTCAGCAAAACACCATGCTTGGGCATCACTTATTTTTACACATGACTTCAAGCAGTGGGATTTGGAGGTCTCCTTGCCATGTTCCTTTCTTTATTTCATAATAATTCATCATTTGAATTGATAAGTAGTTGAATATTTATGCTCTGAGCAGCATGCAAAAGCTTTATATGTAATTTAGAGACAGGTGTAGTAGCCAGCGGTATGAGACTCAAAGTGCCTCCCTTTCTCCCTTGAAAACTCTTGAATGTTTGTGATTCATTTCCATTCAAGCAGATATGGACTAAGATGATGGACACCTAAAAAGAAGGGAGAAGTGACATGCTGTTAGCTGATCTAGGCAGGGTAGGCCAGGTGTGTGCTTATACCTATCCATATAGTCTGAGTGTTTAATACAGTTGATGAACCTCGAGAACAGGTTTTTTGGGATGCCTAGCATCATGTGCAGAGGAGGTAACTGACTGCTTCTGCACTAAGCTTGGCTGTAATTAAGCACAGTCTGGTTAGCATGCTCATATATGGCTGTCTCTTCCACAATGAGAGAAGACAGAACCA